CTAGCATTTACTAGATATAGGGTAGCCTGGTATATAAAAGAGGGTGACAACGTGACGCAATAATGTGTGTGAGTAATTGAACTGCAGTCAGAAGTATTGTTGACGTTCGAAAATAAGTGTATCGTAAAGTTGTACTTGGAAAGAATAAACCAGTTTTATTAAGTAAAGACTTGTGTCCCTAAAGTTTCGTCGGAACGAAGTTACGGAAAGTTAATTAACAAACGGAAACGTAACAACTTGTTACATGCTGTATTAAACTATTTTTTATCTGTTAAAAGTTTTATTTTCAATCAGTTTGAAGTACCAATAATGTTTTTTGGTGATTAAATATGTTATAAATACGTAAAGTGTTGAATAAAGTTTTGAAAAATAAAAACACTTTTTAGTAAATATATCCAAGATACTCGTTAACAAGGTACGAAAAATTATAAACTCTTAACCATAGAAACAGTAAATTTATCACCAAGAGTTTTATAAGTTTAGTTTTTGTTTTAGGACAATGGAGAAATTTCTCGACTACTTCTGAATGCTCTATCCATCAATATCCAGGGTTTGAAACCCTCTCTAAGTATGACCGTCCAGACATAAGGAAGAATCTTGAAGGGCAAAACTTGGTAGTCAGTGTTTCACATAAACTTCCAGGTATTACAGGTTTAATCTAGAGATAAACTAATGTTTTGATACGATTTGTTAGTCAGTGTTTCACATAAACTTCCAGGTATTACAGGTTTAATCTAGAGATAAACTAATGTTTTGATACGATTTGTTAGTCAGTGTTTCACATAAACTTCCAGGTATTACAAATTTTATCTAGAGATAAACTAATGTTTTGATACAAATGTAGTTAACTGCATTAACGTACTTGTTTTGTTTGTGAAAGGTTTTGTTATGTTTCTTATTTACTTCTGTATATTACTATAGTACTAACAATACCAATGTTATTCTGTGTTATAATGACAAACTCTAAGCAATGGTCAATTAATTGGTTTTTATTGAATATTAAGATTAAAATGACCACCATTTAATTAGTAAAGTTTTTCTGTATAACACCATTAAAATTTTAAAGTGATATGTACTGACTTTTTTTTGCATTGTCGTCCTTTTAAATACTGATTAATCTTTTATGACATTATTATTATCATTAAATTCATTTAAGTGCATGATTTTGAATACTTTTATCTGCAAAATTTGTTTTTCTAAATTCTTATTTAGGAACAAATTATTGACATTTAGAATGAGGGTATATGTTGGTAAAGATAACGACAATAAACCAACATATGTGTTTACCTAGTTCATTATATTTCTCTAATCTTGTTTTCTAGTTTTTACACAACTTGTTATTTTCAGTAGATGTTTTCTTTTTATAAGTAATAAATATTTGATAATAATTTTGTGTATAGTACGGTTCCCAAAGTAATATTTTATTCTGCGTTACATTGTTCTCAGTTTCTGTTGTCAGATTTTTTAGTTACCATTTTCAAAATGCTGCATGTCTACAATTGTAGCTTTTCTATATTGTGCCTCAAAGATTTGTTTCTAAATGTATATGAATGGTCCGCTTTTCTATAACCCCACTGAATGAATGTTTAGTGTTGGTTCTCATTTTCGACCTAAAAGTAACCGGTGGTTATTAATATTCATGACAAATATTTAAACCTTCTTGATGTTATCTGTCTATCAATCTGCAGACATCATCTTTCTGATCAGTAAGTTTTAATCAAACTTCACAATGACTTTAGGTTTCTGTCTAATAGAAAACATAATCACAAAATACAGACACACATGTCTGCAAACACACTAAAAACAAAAAACAGCTAATGGGTTGGGGGATAAGCCCTCTTACAGATGGCTTTTTTTTTTTGAGTCACTGAACCTTTCAGAGTTTGTAATAATATATTTACAGTTTACTCTATAACATTTTCTACATATGATAACTGTGTGTTCTAGCACGTTTGGAGGTAGACCAGGATCAACGAATCAAATCTCTTTCCAGTAAGATCCATCAGGGGCAACTAGTGAGCAAGAGGCCAGTTCATACAAATGGAGATGGAGGATTTAGGTATGTAATCTCTTTCATCTAATCGATTGTTAAGAATCTTTTGTTTTAAAGCTAAGAGAATTGCAAATCACCTACACTGTTTACTTTAATCATATCAGATTCCATAGATTATTTTAATATTCCTAACTTAAAAACAGTTTTATGGGTTAGATAATAGTATAACAAAATGTTTTTTGTTTAGCTTTAGTTTACTCGCATTTATATTTATTGGTACCTCCACTGTGCTTTAACATAATTTCAGTAATTATTTAGTGTAATAATATGTACATAACAACCCTTTTCAATGCAAAATAATTATACAGTCATATCATAACGATGTGTTTGGATCAGTGAGTTAAAATTTCCAAGGTGGGGATATCCCTTATACTTAATAGAATTGAAAACAAATAAATATGTATCAACATGAGGAACAAGACCCATCCAGAATGGGATCTGTAATAATATTTACCACAGCAATTGAAGGCAAAGTGTGGTGTCTTGTAACAGTGAGAATCTATGAACACTAAGGTCACTGACTAAAGATGTCCACATTCCCCAGGCAACAGTACACAGCATAATCAAAAAAATTTGCATCTGGAAATGAGAACAAAAAGGTTTGGGTTCACCAAGATTAGGCTTCCGTTCATCTGTCCTGTATCATAAGGAGCTGAAGAATGGAATAAGTATTCATCCATTTTATACAAAGACATACCAGTCTAGCAAACTGCTGAAACAGACACTGTCATCTTTATACACTAGATAGATTATGCAGGGAGAAATGGCGTGCTTTGGGTATGAGAAGCTTATGATGGAGCATTTTGCAATGGAAACTGTAAAGATTCACATGCCTCAGCTAGAGCATGACTGAACATGGTGAAATGATCTGTAACAGATATGGAAAGGCTCCAAAATGGTTTTGAAAATAACTTATTTAACCCCCTTTATAGATAATATTGACAGCAATGTATTTTTTGTTATATTTATAATTGCATACCTGTATATATATATATATATATATATATAATGGTTTTTTATCAGCATCTCTTTAAAAGAACATTGAAAAAGAATGTTATCAAAGTAATCAGAACTATTGATCAATTTTTTTCATAAATTTGTTTTGTTTTTTACAGAGGAGCAGGAGAGGAATGTACATATACATTTGAACCAGATTCCTCTTAATGAGTTATAGTTTGTTTACACATTTTATGTTGCAGAAAACAGCCATAATCATTTAATAATCAGAGGCAGACATTTGAAAACGTGTTCAAGAGGATATGTACTTATTAATCCTACCTGACAAGAGTATTGTATTATCAGTGTAAATACAGAAAACTAAAATATTTTTTTTTTAAGAGGGAAGTTTATTTAGTTATGTTCAACCTTGTCAATTTGTACATTATAGGGTTTAATTTTGATTAAGCTTAGGTTTTAGAATTATTGTCTTTAGAGACTGTAAGCTTAACATTACTACAGTAAATTCAAAACTATCTTGAATTACAGCTTTGTAAAATTATACGTAACTCATGATTGAAAAATAATCAACCTAAACACAAGAGAGATTAAGCCTAATGTGAGCTTTTGAAGAGACTGGTATAACAATGTATCTTGTTTTTATTTGCTATGCACTAGCCTTTATAACCCTTTGGCTAAAAATACAATTTACAAGATGATTGGTTTAGCCAAGTAATAAAAAAAATATATTAAAAAAAGAATTGTTCTCAAAGTTGAGCAAGATTTTAATTTCTTGCAGTTTAGAGTATAGACCTATAGAGATCTGTTTGTGTTATTGGATTAGACATTCTCTAACTTCACACATTTGCTACTATTACTTGTATTATGCTGGATATGTGTTAAATCTTTACTGTGATGCACGTGATGAAAAGTTTTCTCGACTGTTCTACATCAATCCTTCCACCCAAGGTTTTTCTGTGTTTTTGATAGGATCTTTTAATCCTCAGAGTTTCCTATATTTGTATTTCTCTGGAGCTTTTAACTACTATAGCTGAACTTTTTTTGTTATCAAAATGCATTTACACTTTAAGCTACATATTACGAAAAATACAGATTTACATAATACATTTTATTTTCATTAATCTTGGTACTTATGTTTTTATGTTACATTTAATTCACCTCATTATTATTATTTTTTTTTACACTTTAGAGTAATGTATCTTTTTGGATGTACACTTACTTACTGTGTGTTTTCCTTGCCTAGTTGCCCGGCATGGCCAGGTGGTTAGGGCGCTCGACTCGCAATCAGAAGGTCGCGGGTTCGAATCCCAGTCCCACCAAACATGCTCGCCCTTTCAGCCGTGGGAGCGTTATAAGTGACGGTCAATCCCACTATTCGTTGGTAAAAGAGTAGCCCAAGAGTTGGCGGTGGGTGGTGATGACTAGCTGCCTACCCTCTAGTCTTACACTGTTAAATTAGGGACGGCTAGCGCAGATAGCCCTCGTGTAGCTTTGTGCGAAATTCAAAAACAAACCTTGGCTAGTTTGATCTGTGGTTTTGTATTTTTTTACTCACTTAAATTTGGATATGTGTAAGTAAGTTATAAGCAGTACGTCTGAGGGCTTATAAGACTAAAAACCAGGTTTTGATACCCTCAATGGGCACAGCACAGGTGGCCTGTTGTGTAATTTTATGCTTATCAATAAACGAACACTTACTATAAATGACCCGTATAATTGAAACCGAGTTGTTATCTTAATGGGAAAACTTGGTAATATTCTTATTTAATTCATAGTTTTATGTATAATTTTGTATATATTTTCTGACACATAAACTTAAATTACGTATAAAATATAAAAGAAGGAAATTATATATACCATAGAAAAATATGTGAGTAGTTTAAAGAGAATCCAGGAAAGAATTAGGGTTATGAATGCGTTTTGTCTTGTCAGAAAGTTTTGTCACCGTTTTCATTGAATAAATGAAATTACAATAATTAATACCCACTGTTACTAATTAAGGTGCCCCCCCCCCCAGTCTGCACGGCGGTATGTCTGCAGACTTATAACGCTAGAAACCGGGTTTCGATACCCGTGGTGGGCAGAGCACAGATAGCCCATTGTGTAGCGTTGTGCATAAATTCAAACAAACAAACAAAACCGACTGAGGTAGTAAAAGTTTATCGGATCTTCTACTTTCTGACAATTTCTGACCACGTGACTGAAAGATATGGCGTTACTAAATATATGTTTTTACAAATTCTTCACTATAAATTTAGAGTAACAACACATATTTCTTTTTTTTTTACTTCCCGATCTTCTATTTTATTTTCTTTGATTCATTAATGCCATTTTGTTGTTAAAAAATTATATTTCGAAGTTATAAGATTGTACTTTTTTGTTACGTGAAGCGCAATCTTCATATTCCAAACTACGTCCGTGTAATATCGGTAATATTCATATTCCAAACTACGTCCCTGTAATAACGGCAATCTTCATATTCCAAACTACGTCCCTGTAATAACGGCAATCTTCATATTCCAAACTAC